CCAATCTCCCCGCAGTGCCCCCCCAAATCCCCGCCATTCCACCCAATCCCCTCCAGCACCCCCACCCCATCCAGGCAGAGCGCCGGGGCCGTTCCCCCACGTCCTTTATTGAGGTCCGAGGGGGTCCCGGGGGATCCAGGGGGGGTCAGCGGCGCTGGGGCAGTCAGAGCCCCCCGGGGTGGTCCTGGGGAGGGTCAGCGGCGCTGGGGGAGACAAAGCCCCCCGGGCCGGGCCCGGGCAGTCCCGGCTTTGCAGGCACAGCGGAAGGAGCCGCTCGTGTTGATGCAGCGCTCACGGGGGCAGCGGGGGCCCCCCCGGGGGTCCCGGCACTCATCGATGTCTGGGCGGTGGGAGACACAGGTCAAGGACCCCAAAATACCGCCTCGGGACCCCCAACATTTTCCCCACCATAGAACCCCCAAATACCCCCCTGGGGGTCTCGGCACTCGTTTACATTTGGGGACAAACACGGGCTTCAAGGACCCCCAAAATACCCCCGTGGGACCCCCAGCCTCCCCTCAGAGCCCCAGCACCTGTCGGTGTCTGTGGCGTTGGGGACCCCCAAACTCCCCCCAGGGATCCCAATATGTGGGGACCCTGGAGTAGGGGGAGTCCTGACCCCCTCCTCCCCTCCCACGCCTGGCACCCCAGGGTTTGGGGGGTCCCCAGGCATTCAGGGTGTCCCAGCAGGGTTTGGGGGTCCCCATTTTGGGAGGGGGTCTCACCGAGGCAGCGGGTGCGGGTGGGGTCTGGCTGGAAGCCGGGGGGGCACTCGCAGAGTCCCCGGGGGGAGCGGAGGCAGCGACCAGGGACCCCCCCGGGACAGGGACATTCAGCAGAGTCTTCCTCGGAGCTGTCGTCACCTAGGGGGGCACAAGGGGGCTGGGGGACCTGGGGTGGGAGGCCCGGAGGGAGCTGGGGGGCCCAGGGTAGGAGGACCCCAGCTTTAAGGGACGGGGGGGGAGCTGGGGGGGCCAGGCTGGGGGGACCTGGTTACAGGGGGCCTAGAGACAATTTCTGGGGTCCCATGGGGCTGAGGACCTTGGGCTGTGGGGCACAGGGCCAAGGTTTGGGGTGCCCGGGATAGGGATCCCAGGGCTGGGGGGTCCCTGGGGGACTCAGGGCTGAGGTGTGGGGTCCCAAGGTTGGTGAGTCCCGGGGTGGGATCCCGGGGGCTTTGCGGTTCCCAGGGGGCTTGGGGGCCCTGGGGGGGGGGTTGGGGGTCTGGTTTTGGGGTCCCGGGATTGTTGGGGGTCCCAGAGGTTTTGGGGTCTCACCTCTGTGGGCCCCCTCCAGGCCAAGGGGGCTCACATCCCAGAAGGAATTGCTCTCGCTCTGTGATGGGGGGCAGGGCAGGCCTGGGGAGAGCCCCACATCATCCCCTGCCCCCCAGGCAACCCCCACCCCCATGTCACCCCCTGTCCCCCAGCACTCCCTGCCCCCAGGACCTTCAGCAGCTCCCCCAGATCCCATAGAGAACCCCAAATCCCGTAGGGATCCCCCAGACCACCCAAATGCCATAGAGACCCCAAATCCCACAGGAACTTCTCGGAGACCCCCTCCCTGTCCCCCCCAGGACTCCCCCAGATGCCTCACATCCCCCCCAGGGACCACATAGCCCCCCTGTAGCCCCCTCAAATCCCCTCCCGAGACTCCCCACAGCCCGCCCACCACCACCCACGCCCCTCCAACCCCGCCCCAGACCTCCCCCTGTCACCTGGGGGCCGGGGGGGGCAGGGCCGGCAGTGGGGGCCCCAGCCGGCCCCCCCCCGGCAGCAGCACTCGTCCAGTGTGAGGGGCCCCCCCCCGAGGGGCGCCCCGCAGACCCCCTCGTCCCCCCGCCGCTGCCAGCACACGTCCCGCCGCTCCGGGGGGGGCCGCTCCGGGCCGGGGGGGCGCTCTGCGGGCACGGGGGGGGGGACACAGGTCAGGGACCCCCAAACGCCTCCCCGTAGGACCCCCAACACCCTCCCGGGGGTCCCGGCACTCGTTGGTGCCTGGGGGTCACACGGGGGGCACGCGGGGATCGCACGGACCCGTCACCCCCGGCCCCGGGGGGGTCTCACCGTGCTCGGGGGGGGGGAGGCAGCGCCGCAGCCCCGGGTGGTACCGCGCCCCCGGCCCGCAGGTGCAGCGGAAGGAGCCGCGCGTGTTCTCGCACGCCCCGTCCACGCAGTTCGACTCGTCCAGGCACTCGTCCACGTCTGGGGGGCGGGGGGGGGCTCGTGGGGACCCCTCGGCAGCACGGGGACCCCCAGGGGTCCCCCAACACCCTGGGGACCTGCAGGGCCTCCCAGGGATCCCCTCGGCTCTGCAGGGACCCCCAGCAGGCCCAGGGACCCCCAAACACCCCCCACCCCCCAACACCCCAGGGACCTTCTGGGCCCCCCTGCTTGCCCCCCGCCCATGGCCCCCAGCCCCCTCACCCAGGCACTGGCGCAGGGCGCTGTCGTAGTCGAAGCCGGCCTTGCAGTAGCACTCGTAGCCCGGCTGGGTGTTCACGCACTTCCCCCCCTTGCAGATCTCGGCCCCGAACAGCCCGCACTCATCGATGTCTGGGGGGACCCCCGGGGGGCTCAGGGTCAGGGACTCCCCCCAGGGTACCCCCGGGGGGACAGGGACCCCCCGGAGACACAGGGACCCTCAGGTCAGGGGGGACCTCAGGGCACAGAGACCCCCCTGGGGGTCGGGGGCACACGGGGGGGGGTCCCGGGGAGGGGGTCTCACCCCGGTGCGCTGGGACTCCGTAGTCGAGGCCGTTGTCGTCCTGGATGAAGCCCCTCCCGTCGGGACAAAGCTCCACGAACTCGGCTGGGGGGGACAGGGGTGTGAAAGGGGGGATCCTGAACGCCCAGACCACCCCTGGGACCCCCAGACTGCCCCCGGAGACCCTAAACTGCCCCTCGGGACCCTCAGAGCCCCCTCCTGTCGGGACAGAGCGCCAGAAACTTGGTTGGGAGGGCGAAGGGGGGTCAAGTCCCCTTAGACCTGCAGAAGCCCCCCAGAGAGGGGATGGAAATGGGGTTACACCTGGCTGGGGACACCTGAGCCCCTCCAGGGTTCCCCCTTGAACGCGAGGAGAGGAGAGGGCAGGGGTAGACCCCGCATGGGACCTCCCAGCCCCCACCCCGGGCCCCCCAGGACCCTCCCCGGGCCCCCCCGTACCTGAGGAGGGCAGGGGGCAGGGGTACACCTCGCACAGGTCCCCCCATCCCGCCCCCACGGAGCAGCAACACTCCCCCCGCGTGACGTTGGTCCCCAAAACGGCGTCGCAGAACACGGGGAGCTCCAGGCTCAGGTAACACTCCTTGCGGGGGGCGGGGGGCTCCCGAGCTGCGAGGGGGGAGGCAAGGGGCGTCAACGGGGACCCCAGAGACTCCCCAGAGTCCCAGGGACCTCCCGGAGACACCTCCCCACACACACCTCAGGGACCCCCCAGGGACCTCCCAGAGACCCCCCAGAGACCCCC